TGAGGTTTTATGTTTAAGTCAATGATATATTTGCATACCTCCTTCTCCTTACAGAAAACAGTACAATGGGAAAGACTAAAAATCTCTTCAAGATAATCAGAGATACCAAGGGAACATTTCATGCAAAGATGGGCTCAATAAAGGACAGAAATGGTATGGACCTAACAGAAGCAGAAGATATTAAGAAGAGGTGGCAAAAATACATAGAAGACCTATACAAAAAAGATCTTCATGACCCAGATAATTACGAGTATGATCACTCACCTAGAGGCAGACATCCTGGAATGTGAAGTCAAGTGGGCCTTAGGAAGCATCACTATGAACAAAGCTAGTGGAGGTGATGGAATTCCAGTTAAGCTATTTCAAATCCTAAAAGGTGATCCTGTGAAAGTGTTGCACTAAATATGCCAGCAAATTTGGAAAACTCAGCAGTGACCACAGGACTTGAAAAGGTCAGTTTTCATTCCAATCCCAAAGAAAGGCAATGCCAAAGAATGCTCAACCTACTGCACAATTGCACTCATCTCACAAGCTAGCAAAGTAATGCTCAAAATTCTCCAAGTCAGGCTTCAACAATACATGAACCGTGAACTTCCAAATGTTCAAGCTGGTTTTAGAAAAAGGCAGAGAAACCAGAGATCAAATTGCCAACATCTGCTGGATCATCGAAAAAGCAAGAGAGTTCCAGAAAAACATCGATTTCTGCTTAAGCCTTTGACTATGTGGATCACAATAAACTGAAAAATTCTGAAAGAGATGGGATACCAGACCACCTGACCTGCCTCATGAGAAATCTGTATGCAGGTCAGGAAGCAACAGTTAGAACTAGACATGGAACAACTGACTGGTTCCAAATAGGAAAAGGAGTATGTCAAGGCTGCATATTATCATCCTACTTATTTAACTTATATGCAGAGTACATCATGAGAAATGCTGGGCTGGATGAAGCACAAGCTGGAATCAAGATTGCTGGGAGAAATATCAATAACCTCAGATATGCAGATGACACCAACCTTATGGCAGAAAGTGAAGAAGAACTAAAGAGCCTCTTGATGAAAGTGAAAGAGGAGAGTGAAAAGCTTAGCTTAAAGGTCAACATTCAGAAAACTAAGATCATGGCATCCAGTCCCATCACTTCAAGGCAAATAGATGGAGAAACAATGAAAACAGTGGCAGACTTTATTTTTTGGGGCACCAAAATCACTGCAGATGGTGACTGCAGCCATGAAATTAAAAGATGCTTACTCCTTGGAAGGAAAGTTATGACCAACCTAGACAGCATATTAAAAAGCAGAGACATTACTTTGCCAATGCAGGTCCATCTACTCAAAGCTATGGTTTTTCCAGTGTCATGTATGGTTGTGAGAGTTGGATTATAAAGAAAGCTGAGTGCTGAAGAAGTAATGCTTTTGAACTCTGGTGTTATAGAAGACTCTTGAGAGTCCCTTGGACTGCAAAAGGAGAGCAAACCAGTCAATTCTAAAGGAAATCAGTCCTGAATATTCATTGGCAAGACTGATACTGAATCTGAAGCTCCAATACTTTGGCCACCTGATGTGAAGAACTGACACATCTGAAGACTCTGATGCTGGGAAAGACTGAAGGCAGGAGGAGAAGGGGATGACAGAGGATGAGATGGTTGGATGGCATCACTGACTCAATGGACATGAGTCTGAGTAGGCTCCAGGAGTTGTGATGGACCGGGAAGCCTGGTATGCTGCAGTCCGTGGGATCCGAAAGAGTAGGATATGACTGAGCAACTGAACTGAACATTTGTTGCTGTTCAGTTGGCTAAGTTGTGACTGACTTTTTGTGACCCCACGAACTGCAGCACGCCAGGCTTCCCTGTCTTTCCAGTATCTCCCAGGGAGGCCTGGTGTGCTGCAGTCCATGGGGTGGCAAAGAGTCAGACACAACTGAGCGACTGAACTGGACTGAACTTATGTCCATATATTGAAAATTTTGAATTCACATCAATACTTCCAATTCCGATCCAACCTGTCAAGCTTTCTTGCTATTCCCCTTTCTGTATCTTAACCCCATTCTCCAACAGTGAGAAATCTGGCTCCCCTCATCCTTTACATAGTATTCCTTTGGGAAGTCCCCTTGTACATGATAAGTCACCTGACTTTGCAGGACCGATTCCCCCACCTTCCTTGTCTGGGCTCTGATCCCGACTCTGAGCTGACTTCCTAGCTGAATATAGGGATGCCTATATTCTCCTACGAAGGTGGAAAAGCAGGGAGATCAGTCAGGAGAGTGAGATGCACAGATGAGGCAGGGCACAAAATTAACCACAGAATAAACACACAGTAACTTCTGGGTCCCTGAAAGCTTTCTAGCTCCTGGTTTCAGTCTTCTGCTAAAATGTAGCTGAAATGCCTGCTCTGGGCTTTTTTGAGAAGTTCCTGTATCCTTCTGATACATTCTTCCCTTTTGTAAACTACTTCAGGTTGGTTTCTTTACATGCAAACAGAGAATCTTAAACAAAGGTATATTTATATCCTGGCTTGTTCTACAGAATATGAAACAAATTGTAGAAATAATCAGGGCAAAGGAAAAATAAAAAATTAGCCTGCAGAAAAATGCATACCACATGGTACTGTACCATTGCTTACCGTGGGCTGAAATATTAGCTCTGAGATTTCTAGTGATCCAAACAAAGTGTGAAACACTATCCCTTCTAAGATTTTACATCTCCAGATTTAAAATAAACCAGCAATTGGAGCATGAATAGATAGACCACTGGAACAAAAACACAGAATCTAGAAGTGAACTCTTCAGCAAATGGCTGATAAATGGCAAACTCTGTAGCCATCTGGGAAAAAAAGTATTTTGACTCATACCTTATCCCATATACTCAATCAATTTTAAATGGATCAGTGTTCAATTACAAAAGACTAGAAGTCTAAATGCCCATCAATAGAGAACTGGTTAAATTATATGCATATCCCTGCAATAAAATGTTGTGGAGATTTGAAAATAATAGCAAGGAGTTCTGTATCTATTGCTATAGACATATATCCTTGATATATTGTTAAAAAAAAGCAAGGTATAGTTAATGTGTACGGCACACTACCATTGTTGTAAATGAGGAATATTTTGGCTTCTACTGTATAAAAAATCATCTGGGAGAATGTGCAAGAAACAGTGCTTACCTGTTTGGAGCATGGGGATGGGTGTGGGAGAGTCTTTTTACTGTATACCTTTTTATGCCTTCTAATGAATGAACCATATTTGTAATACTCTTTTTAAAAGTTAAAAAAAAAAAAAAAACCCTGATGAAAATCAGACAAACCTGGTGAAGGAGAAGCTCAGCTAATCTTGACAGACTGAAAGGACAATAGGAGAAAATGAAAATTTTACCTGCCCACAAATTTCCACAATTAGTGAACCCCAGTGCCTATCCCCACCCAGAGATGTCATTCTTTTTACAAAGGATCATCTCCAAAAAGGCTTTACTTAGAAACCTGGGGAGGCCTTCTGCCTATAGTGCAATATAAATGCTTGATACATATAAGAAAAGTTATTTCTATGGAGACCTGACAAGAGTATTCTGACTACTTCCTAATTTTGCCCATGAACATTCTATGTTTATGTGAAATATCTTGCCAACTGAAAGTATATATATGATCAAAATGTGAGCACTGTAGTACCATCCCTGAAGCCAGATCACCAGGGTTAAAATCTCAGTTGTTCGCTGATCAGCAGCTTACTTGCTAGAGGTTATGAATTTCCTTCCTCTGTTATTATAAAATGGAGGGCAAGTACAGCATCTGCTTTTCAGGATCCACATGAAAATCAAAGCTTACAACAGCCTGTCCAATAGCAATATAATGCTAGCCACAAAAGACATTAAATACTTTCTAGAATTAAAAAAAAAACAAACCAATATTTATCCCAATATGTCAAAAACATTATCACTTTAACATGTAATGAATAATAACAAATAATAGTGTGGTTTCACATTCTTTTTTGGTAAGGAATACATCTGATTTTCAGGTCTCCTATCTCAGTGAAGACTGTGCTGTGCTTAGTCGCTCAGCCGTGTTCGACTCCTTGTGACCCCATGGACTGTACGTAGCCTTCCAGGCCCCTCTGTCCACGGGGATTCTCCAGGCAAGAATACTGAGCAGGTCGCCGTGCCCTCCTCCAGGGGGATCTTCCCAACCCAGGGATGGAACCCCGGTCTCCCAAATTGCAGGCAGATTCTTTACCGCCTGAGCCACCAGGGAAACCCCCAATCAACACTAGCCGTATTTTAAATGCTCGACAGCCCCCTTTGCATCAGCGCAGCCCTAGACATGCCTAGCACGCGGTAGGTGCTATGTGCTCTTAGCAGAAGCATGGTTGCTGTTATGCTACCTCGTTTGGAGTACACCAGTCTATCAGGTGAGCTATCTGGAAGACATGCATATATTTTGGAATAAATTAATGCGACTTTCTTTTAGCCAGTCACTTACTGGACCTCCATATTAATTCACAGCTACAAGATAAGGTGCAAGGTTCCGATCCCCCATTTACATAAGTGGGGCCACTGTCCTCATCTCATTTTCTGGTCATCCTAGTTCCTGGTTGGGGATGGGGTGGGTTGGGGGAAGGAGGTGGGGTTAGTTGTCTCCCCTAATGCGGAGGGCCCTGCAGGCGAGTGGGACGGTCCTTTAAAAAGGGGATGGGGGTGGTGAAAAAAGAGCGCCGAGGCCTCGGGAGAACAATTAACGGCCGCGGCGAAGGGCCACGTTTAGGGGGCGGTCGGTGCCAGAAGGGGCAACCATGAAGGCGAACGAATTCCGAGCGCCAGCACAATTCGCGTTGAGCTAAGCGAGCTTCCGCAGGCCGGGCGCCCAGGCACCCGGCGGGCGGCGAAAGTGCCGGGCCCCCGCGCGGGCCCACGGAACGTTCGCGTCCAGTCCCGGCTCCTCAGGGCCGCAAACACCGCCAGGGGCCTCTGCCGCTCGCGTCCACTGTCTCCCGGCTCCTGAGTGGCTGGGGGGCCGGGATTAACCTTTCACCGCCGCGCGCTGTCCAATCACAGGCTCGCTCTCATGCAGGCGCGGGGCGAGCGGGGGAGCGCGGGGGCGCGGGCGCCTGGGAGATTCTCCTAGCCGCCGTGCGCCGTTGCCGCGGGGCCGTGCGCGGGCCGCGAGCGAGCCGGGCGCTGCGCAGTCTCCGCAGGCGCCGGCGGGAGGGGTCGAGGCGGAGGCGCGGCGCGGCGCGGCGCGGGCTGCTCCAGGCCCCAGGTTGGATGGAGTGACCTGACAGCGGGGACGAGGCGACGGCGAGCGGGAGGACATGGCGGCGGCGGCGGCGGCGCCGGGCGGCACCGGGAGGCCTGGGCTGTGACGCGCGCGCCGGAGCGGGGGTCCGATGGTTCTTGAAGGCCCGCGGCGCCCCGTGCTGCAGGTGAGGCGGGCTTCCCCCGCCGCGGAGCCGCTTTTGTGTCCCGGGATGGGGGGCGGAGCAGGGATCGGCTCAGCGCGCCGCCGAGGCCCGCGTGGGCTACGGACTCGTGGGGAGACCGGCGCGGGGCAGATGGCGCGGCCTCCTCGCTCGGTCCTGGGCGGGGCGGGCGCCCGCGCCGCCGGGCTCGGCGCAACCTCGACTCGCTGGCGCGCGTCCTGACTCGGCGCTTCCCTGGGACTTTGTGCGCGGGGTCGCCTGGGCACCGGGTGGGCACGCGGGCGCCTCCGCACCCCGAGTGGAGCGCGGGGTGGGGGGGGGGGTTTCTCGCCGCTCGCCCACCCACCCCCGGCTCGCGGACAGCGGGGCTTTGACAGGTCCGGCTGCGCGCACCAGGGTGGCGCGGGGTCCGCCGCCGCCGCGTCTCTGGAGCATCCCCGGGAGGCTGCGTGGTGGCCGGCGGTGGCCTCCTGGGTGGATACCTTCGAGGGGGCCGGGAGGGAAGGGAGGCCGGGCCCTCCGGCCCTGGCAGGAAAGCCCGAGCGTTCGGGGGCGCGCCCGGCGGGGATTGTTCGTGTTTATTGGCAGGTGACCAGCTTTCTGGTCCCCAGGGGGCGGGTGGCCGAGGCCATCTTTTCGCCCCTCCTCTCCGATTTTTTTTTTTTTTTTTGTGCCAGCGCGCCCCTGGACCCCTGCAAAGCGAGGCTTTCGCAAAGGGTTTTTCAATCCTTGGCAAATCAGTGTATGTTTTAAGTTAGCACTGCAGATTTTTTTGGGGCGGGGGGTGGGGGTAGACTTTCCAGAAAAGCTGAGTTCCTCCAGGGCTTTGCCCGCAGTGTAGAGCTGGCAGAACACTTAATGTGTCTTTTTAATGGCCCGAAGATTTGCAAAGACAGATGAGTGGGGGAGTATTTACTGTAGTGTTCCGTCCATGCTTTTGTGGAGAAAGTCATGGTTACAGGGACACCTTACTTACCCAGATGATCAGTCTTAAGTTTTGAGGTGACTATCACGGTTTACAAATATTCAGCTGGTGAAAGAGTTTTAATTTGAAGTTTTTGCTTTTTTGGTGCTTTGGATTTTTCTGCTGTTGCTGCTTAGTCGTATCCAACTCTTGTGCGACCCTGTGGATTGTAGCCTGCCAGGCTTCTCTCTCCATGGGATTCTCCAGGCAAGAGTATTGGAGTGGGTTGCCATGCCCTCCTCCAGGGTATCTTCCCAACCCAGGGATCGAACCCGGGTCTCCTGCATTGCAGGCAGATTCTTTATCTCTGAGCCACCAGGGAAGCCCCTTGGATTTTTCTGGATCTTCACAACCCTGATGTTCAGAACTCTTCCAGTTGCTTGGTTTTCAAGTGCAGCAGACTCAGAGAATGGAAAAGGGCACAGATCAGGAATTAAGTAACTCTGGGGGAAGAAAAACAAAAAAATATATAGAATGTGTCTTAATAAAGGTTAACTACATTGAAAATATATTGGTATAAACATTAAATTTTCTAAATAAAAATACCCATTTTAGCCAAAGGCTCCAATAATTTATTAGAGGATGGATGATGGTACAAGATTCTGAATAAGGGTGCTAGTGAATAGTAATTTTAGTATTAATATCTTTGGGAACTAGGTGGGCATAATCAGTTTATTTTGCAAAACTTGTTAGTAGCTCTCTGTGGCAAATCATATTACATGTAATATGTGCTGTATATACTTATATATAATTTTTAAAATTTTCATTGTGGGATATATTTTGTAATACTATAGATTAGAAACACTACAAAGATTGCTTTTAATATGATCACTGTGAACATTTCATGGATTTATTCAGGGCATCAAAATACTGTTTTAAGAAAAGAGGTACACATTTAATTTGGGGAGAAAAGACCTTCATTTCCTACAGTTATTGTAATAAGGGTTTGCTTTACCTTTATGCTCTCATCTCATCCTTAAAGGTTAAGTTCTGTCTACTATATTATACCTGTGGCACTGTGACTGAGATGTAAAGTGTGGTGGTTTTGCCATTTCTGAATTTTATTGGCTTGGTTTTAGAAAACATTTTATTTTGATGTGGCTCAAATGATTCTTATTTGATAGTGATTTTGTGGCAGTATATATTGGGTTGTACTTCTAATGTAGTGCTACCTTTGAGGAGGGGTGACTTTTTGACATTGAGAGATTTATACCCTGCCGCTGTCTGATGTATGAGATGCTTGTTTCATTTGAGAAAGTAGGTATTTTTTTGACATTCTCTCACTTGTGACTTTAGCATCCTGTGGTCATTACTTGTGGCTAAAGAGCAAAGGGAAATATTAATAAGAAGTTCCTGGTAATAAATGCCAAGATATTTCAGTTTCTTTTATCTGTGTTCTTATTTAATCCTCGCTGTGACCTTGAGACAGATTTAATATTGTCTTATTGTATGTACAGGCAAGGAAGCTAAGACTCAGAGAGTTGTGAATCTAGAAGTGACAGAGCTAGCACTGAGTCATGGCTTGATTTTGAAATCTTTGCACGTGGGCTCTTTTTCTGACATTGCATTGCTGTTCCAAGTGAATTTTAGGGGAACAACCTGCATAACTTGCAGGTAAGTCCTTAATTAGTACTTGTTAAAAGAATGAAACTCTTGTCTTAAATGTTCAGGGGGCATTTGATTATCTGAGTAAGATTCTTTCCCTTTTTTTTGTGTGTGGTAAAAATAGAACAAAACGTACCATTTTAACCATTTTTAATTGTACAGTTCTGTGGCATTAAGTACATTCACATTGTTTTGCTCCCATCACCACCGTCCATCTCCAGAACTTTTTCATCTTCCTCAACTGAAACTCTGTACCCATTAAACACTAACTCCCCATTCCACCCTCTTCCCAGGGCCAGGCAACCACCATTTTCTTTTCTGTCTGGGAGTGTCCTGCTCACGGAGCTGTAGGTATGTGTGCTTATCCATTAATCCCCCCATGGACTCTTGGGTTGTTTGTGTCTTTTGGCCTTGTGAGCGATGCTCCTATGAACAAATAGCTAAAATAACAAAACACATTTATACGAAGGTGAACAAATACCTGTTTGAACTCCAGCTTCTCCTTCTTTGGAGTATCTACCCAGAAGTGGTGTGGTTGTTTCTTGATCAGCAGAACATTTGACTCAGAGCTTTACTGCCACATGAGCTTCCTCAGGGTTGTTCAGATGGTTATACTGTACTACAAATAGGAACTGTTTTTCAATAGCAGACTTTAATTTTCTTGAAACCGAGGATTTACTTATTTTTATGATCCCAGTTCTGACCTGCGTTTGGCAAGTACCTGCATTCATTCAGTTGTTCCATCACGGATCCATGCTGTGCTCTGTTGGATGGCAAAGGAAGGTACTGCTCGGGTCCGTGTTTAACTTGTGTAAATATTGAGTTGGAGCTGAGTGCTTTGTCCTTGTGCTCTGCATTTTGGATATTCCAGTGTTCAGCTCATTTTCAAAGCCCAGTGGGCTTTATGATTTGTCTACTTTATTATTTGCTTTATTATTTGTCTACTTTGAGAAAGGATTTGAGGTGGTCGTATAACAGATGTTTGAGAGGACAGTGAAAATAGTGGTGAAGGTTGAAGGAGGGGTAGAGTGTGGAGGGAGCAGGGGAGAGTTAGAAGGGAAGCTCAGGGTAAGGATAATTAGTGTCCGCATGTCACTAAAGGCTTTCTTTTTTTAAATATTAATCAAAGAAAAGGAGGAAGCAGGACTAATTATAGGTGATACAGATTAATGAAAGGAAGTATGCCAGTTAAGCAGGAAAAGCAGACTTTTCTCTTGTATGATGAATACGCATCTGAATTCTTATGTAAAATGACATTGACAATATGTGGAGAAAATGTTTTACATTTTACAAATGATGGAGAAATGTTTCTCACATGCCATTTTAGAGAAGCTGGGTAAAGGCCTCAGGCATAATGGAAAAGCTTTAGTAATGTAGATAATAGACATTCTGGTGATTTGATTTACTAGAATTTAGTTAATTTATCTTTCACACTGTATTCCTCGTATGTCAGTTGTGTCATTCAGGCTTTTGACAGATGCTAAATAATAATTCGTTCACAAATGTACTCTTTTCCGGATCCGTATAGGCAGTCAGGATTTTCAGAATTCTCTCTGCCAGTCTTGGGGAGTGTGTGTCGGTCTAAAAAGTAGGATTGCTTGTATGGTGGTATATACTCTGTGAATGAATACAGAGAGAAAAGCCTTATTTTTGAGGTCTAGTTGATGAAATTGAAATTCTCAGTCATGTAAGAAGGTCTTTGTTAAAAGAAATTTTGAGTACAAATAGGTTTCCTATTTTCCCTAAAATCGTCACTGAATTGGTGGTTCTGTTTCAGTATGCAAGGCTGCTATCCATTTTAAGTAGGTGACTAAGAAGATAGATGCCGCAAGAAAACTTGTCTGAGGATGTCAGTAAGATTTACTAGATTCAAGACATGGAAGACTTGAATTTTGGCCTTAGTATTCTGATTTTTGAAGCTCATGGTGACATTAAGTGTTGTGCTCTGTTAAATGTACTATCCTTACAAACAAATAGAATTGTAAGGATAGTAAGGGTAGAACAGAACGGTGCTGACATAAACAAGGGCTCAGATTTGCTGAGTGAATAAATTAGTTTATTTTATATTATTTTTAAAGGACTTAGAAGCGAACAGTTCTATGTAAAGTAATATTGCTTATATATTATGGCTTTTACAAAGATCATTACTGTTCTGATTTTGGACAAATCATGCTGCCTGGTTCATTAGTGTGGACACATGATTAAGTGTATGGAAGCATTATGGACAGAGAGAATTAAGAATTTCATAGAAGAAAGTCGCTATTAAATTGGGAGTTTTCCTGGTGGTGTAGGCTTTCTTATTGCTGGAGTTGGCTAACCCTGATGGTTGTTGTGGTGGTTCTTTTTTAGGTGACAGCTCAATGTGTGCAATAAAGTAGGAATTTAGAAACCACATTTGGAAATTCTCTTGGGGATTAGAACATGTCAGCGAACCAGAATTTTAAAATAAAGTGTTTAAAGAGCTCAGATAATGAGAGAAGGATCTCACTTTAAGAGCTGATCTTTGACATGCTGTAGAAAGGTTCTTTGATTAAGGAGTTAGGTCAGTAATCCTATTTGAAGGGAAAAAGAAAGGCAGTAGCAGAGATTCTTTTGAGAGGGTAAGTTTAACATGATGAGCCCAGAGCTTTAAGTGGTGTCTCCTCATGTATGTCCTGCCGATTGGCCTCACTTGAGTAGCTCCTACTAGTAGTATTTTCAGCTATTTTCCTTTTGTAAAATTAAACATATTAATATTTTATCGAAGAATTATAAGAATGTTTAAGAGCGAGTATTTGGTGTCAGAGGGGTTCAAATTCTGCTTCCTTCAGTTTATCCATGAGGAGCACAGTGTGTCTGGTGGGCTTTCTGAGTCAGCTCCCTCATCTGAAATCTGATCTTGTTAGTAGTGCCTACTTCTTGAGGTTGTAAGGA